TCCAAGTACTTCCGTCGAGCAGACAGGTGGGCGGGGGTGGGGTGTGGATTTGTGTAACGAACCGGCGAAATCCTCGAATTTCAACCATTTCATGCTTGTTAATTCAAACTTCCTCGAAATATTCAAAAGAAAACCCTTTGAGTCGACTCCCATCAGCCGCTACCACGACCCCTCCAAGCTTAAAACGACTAGATACGCGAACTTTTTGACCCTCATCGACCCCATATAACCCCCTCTTAAACTCTTTACCCCCTTGCTGAAACTGACCCTAGTTATCCGTCAAAAATGCGGTGCCGACGGAGAAACCTTAAATCGCTCCTAAAACAGCCCAGCTCTCAATGCGCATTTGATGGTATACGCATGAACCTGCTCAAGCCACTGGATTCTGCACCGCTTATTAAAGCGAGAGATTACGATAAAGTGTGTGCAGCGTGGAAGTACATGCACCATTGGAAGCAGTAGTCAGGGGCCCAAGGAAACGAAATGTTGCGTTTTTGTGGTCAAAGGTGCGCTAGTTGCAGCGTACTGGGCTTGCCATTCCTTTCTGAGCTCCGCCACGGCCTGTGCTCCGCCCCCAGCAGCAGCGCCCTTCGATTATCATTTTGACGAGGTATTCCACTTGAGTGCGTATCCTATAACTTTCCCATGGAATGCGTTACCAATCAAAGCATGGTCTTTGCTAGTATGATGGTGATTATCGGGCGCGTTCTCAACGGATTTCTTTGCTTTTTTCGCCACTGGGGCATTATTCAGCACCTCCACTTCCACCATGAACCCAGTCCAATCTTATCGTAATCCCTCGCTTTAAGGCTAACGCTGCCATGAATGTGGTGGAAGTTGCCACTTTGCTATTTTCTTATCCCATTCAAACGCCCAAGGTAGTGTTGAATAGGGGTATGAATAGTGGAGTGGTGTCATTTAAAAGGAATACGTTTATCTGGGAAGTTAGACTATCTGAAAAGCGATTCAGAACTACGCGGGGGAAACGAGCGACATGGAAATTCGAGGGAGTAGTGAAGGAAGCGAGAAACCTACAGCCTTCGCTGTCCATCTTTTAAGTTGAGCAGTCCCACTTGCCTTCACGTACGCCTTACACACTTAGACTCAGGCAGGAAGGCCGTGCAGGAAGGCACGCTTAGACTCAGGCAGGAAGGCCCAGCGTACGAAGTGTGCTTTGGAAGCACAAGATCTCGGGTTTTCTTTCAATCAAAAAAAGGAACGAAAGAGGGAAAGAACCCTGAGTTCCAAACTTCTTCAACGACCGAAAGCTACGAAAGGTGCCGCATGCCGATCGATCG